GGGTTTGAGGTTAAAGATGATGAAATTTTAGTTTGGTTCCTCAATTTGTGAAAATTATATGTTAGTCCCCAAACTTTAAAAAAAATTACAGATTGATCCCTGGAGAATAATTCTAGATTCTAGACAGGATTGAGGATGAATTATGGATAAAATTCCAGTATAGCTATGAATTTATGATATTTTTAGTTTGGTCCTGTAATTTAATAAAATTACATTTTGACCCTAAAATCTGCTAGAAATTCCAGAATAGTCCTCGGAATATAATTTGATATTCTGGAAAGAAATGAGGATGAATTATAAGAAAAATTCTAGTATAGTTAGGAATTTATGATATTTTTAATTTGATCTTTCAATTTGATAAAATTATAATTTGATATCTAAAAACATACTAAAATTACATAATGATACATGGAGCATCATTTGAGATTCTAGATAAAATTGAGGATGAGCTATGGGAAAAATTATAGTATGATTATGAATTTATGATATTTTTAATTTGATCTTTCAATTTGATAAAATTATAATTTAACTCCTAAAAATATATTATATTTTCAAATTAATTTCTATATATAATATTAGCTTTTTTAAATTGGTACGATGGATACAACTTTGATGAGATAAATACAAAATATATAATATAATATAAGATAACGTATCAAAATCTAAGCCAATAGAAACGCCTCAGTTCACTTTCATGAGAATTGACAGGTTCATTGCAGGACATAAGAAATTATTTAATAAAAGCATAGTGTGGGTTAAGGGACATGGATTGTTTGCTCATTATTATTTAGGATGTCCAAATTACTAAAACAACTAATGTAAAATTGTTAGGGTGGATTTTACAAGTTCTTTACGTTTTTTATTGCCTAAAGCTGAAACTGACCTTTTCAGAAGACTATACCATCCTGTGATGACCCTTTTTTTTTTTCTTTTTCTTTTTTTACCTCAGTGCTATACACCTCATTGCTCCTTCTCACCATATGCTGTGAATAAATAATTCTTAGATGCTCATCATAAGTAGGATGAATTACATCTTAAAACTTCATCACCGAAACAACGTGACAAAAAGAATCTAACAAAAAGTGGATGAATTGCTTCATGTGACAAAATATATTTACACCATGTTTTTTAATTCAAGTGCTAATTGATCATTTTCAGCTTTGGATGATATCATGTGAAGCAATTCGTCCACTTTTTGTTATGTAGATCTTTCTCTCTCCAAATCAAATCTTACTTTTATATATTTTTATATATATATAATTAGGAGATCAAATCTTGTCCTCTCAATACTTATCATTCAACTAATTGAAAACTTTATTTAGCATCTAAAAGAATCTTATCCTCTCAATGCTTATAAACTCACGAAAAGAATCTAACATATATAAAAGTGCCTTAAAATTTAGAAAGAGAAAGGTTTATCTCTTTACTATATATTCCATTATATAAAACAACTAAAGAAGGTGGATGTTAACTATACATTCCAATGCTCATCCTCTCACAAAAGTTTATTTCACCAAGTGTTTATGACCAAAATTTTCCTTTATTAAGTCCTTGAAATTTTTATTGTTTTATAATTTGGTTGCTGAACCTTCTTTCTTTTTCAATTGGCCCTTTCAAGTTCTATCAGTATTTATGGTTTTAATTTACTCCTCTTTTTTTTTTTTCTCTAGGTTACCTTATATGTTAAAATTTTCGACATTAAATTAATTGTTAATTTAATGACATAGAGTTTTAGTTCATTGTTAAAAAACAAACTGAGATATGAAGGGCCAAAATTAATGTAATGGAAGAAATAAAGCCTTCTTCCACTAAAGGCGCACGTGACTATAGTTTGGCTCCTAAAATTTAATTTTTTTAATAACTAGTTCTTGTTATTTTAGTTCATTACATTGGGGTATGAGATTTTTTAAAAATTTGTTGTAATTTTTAGTTTTTAAGTTGATTAAAAAGTATTTTAATGTAGAAAATAGAGTTTTAGAGGTAACCTAGCTTAAAGTGATAACCTTGCTTATCAAGCCTTTATAATTTCATCAAAAAGACATTGTCCTTTGCTAAAATTACTTCGATATGGGGAAATCTTGGAATGGGAAACAGTGTGTTTTTAGGTAGCTAATTGATCGAAGATTATAAGAGGGCCACCAGTGTTATTAGGTAGCTAATTGATCCAACTTTAGCTGAAGTTTAACGTTTGTTAAATTATTTGGCTACAATTTATATCATCTTTTGTAATTTGATGTAAGGTATTTTTTAGAAGTATTTTTTAATTAAAAACATATTATACCATTTTTTAGACTCTTTTTAATTTTTCATATTAATATATTAAAATCATAAAAAGAAATTTCTAAAAGTATTAATTTGATGATTTTTTAAGTGAAAAACAATTTAACCTAACAAAATCACTAACAAAACTGCTGACCACAAAACCTATTTTATATATAAAAAGATTAATGTTTAGTTGTGAGATCAAATAGAAAATAAGTTTAAAAAATGATATCAACATTTGATAGCTTATAAAACTCGTGACTCAGGCTATTTAATCAAAAGCATCAAACTTGAAAAAAATCATAAGTCTAATTTTTAATAAATCAAATATTGAATGATAAAATTAAAAAAATATATACAAAAGAATAAAAAAAACCACAACAATTATAAGAAGAAAGATAAAAAAAATGTTTTAAAAATAATAAATGAGAGTATGGATAATCAACAATTATAAGAAGAAAGATAAAAAAAAAAATGTTTTGAAAATAATAAATGAGAGTATGGATAACTTTGGATTAAAGGGTTAAATTGAAAAGAAAAATAAATTAACAAAATAATTAAAAGAAGAAATCACCAAAAGAATTAGGACTAATTAAATAAAAAAATTTATGAAAAGATGAAATTAAAAACAATTAAAAGTTTACAAAAGGGGTAAGAAAAAATTAAAAAAATAAAAAGAATATGGATCAAAATTAAATAAGTAAAAAATTAATAAATTTAAAATGAAAGATAAAATTAAAAAAGAATTGAAAACCTATAAAAAACTAAAAATAAAAATTACAAATTAAATTAAAAAAATGAGAACCGAAACTCAAATATACAAAGCTTAGAGGGCCACCATAAAATATTAAATAGTCAATGCGAGTCTTAATGGTTGAGAGAGAAAAGGAAAAAAAATAAAAATGTTGTCTGTAATAACCTACTTAAAAACAATATACATGTGTTGACGTTTGGGAAAAAAGATGTTGCGGGGAGTCTATTAACACATTGGACAATAGTTTTTAACCGTTAGAGCCAGTCAGCTGTACACGTTGTTTAAAGGCTAAGAGAGGCATTAGCTTTCTCTATTAAAAATATATATATATATATATATATATATATATATATATATATATATTTATCAAATTATCACATTACTTCTGGCACTAAATAATTACTATGAAAAAACCTTTATAAAAGGATAAAAAAGCCTATGAAGCCATGCCTTGAAAAAAATTGACTACAAGGCAAATTGGATCATTACACATTACACTATGCTTAAGAAAATAAAAAACTTAAAATGTTCATAGGCAAGTGTTTTTCTTGCTTTTAAGGTATTCAAGAAAAACTATGCGAAGAATAGTGCAAAAAGATAGAGCTGACACTCAACAAATATAGAATCACAAATAAACCTCATGAAAAATCTATTTTACCACTTATACCAATTCTGTTGATTTTTTGGTCAATGGAAGAAACATTAGTCCATTGTGATTTTAGGCATGTGTACAATGGTTGTCTCATGTATTCTAAGTTCTTGTAATAACAAATATATAGAGTGATAGGTTCGATTCATGATGGCTAGACTTTTAGAGTTCCAACAAATTAAGGACAAGTTTGTTGGAATTCAGTGGTTGGATTTGGACGATAAAAGTGTAACAAGATAAGATTATAATTGTAAACATGTGTAAAAACATGTGTAAATGCAATACAAATGATAGCACAATATATATATATATATATATGATCTTGTCTCTCATGTTCATCATAATTTCACAACGTGATCATATACCACCATTTTTAAAACTTGTTAAAACAAAAATGCAAAATAAAAATGGCGTAGAATTTGATTTAATCATGAGCTAAATTAAATTTTAATTATATTTAAGAATTAATTTGAGTTAAATTAAAGAATTTAATTAAATATAAGGACTTAATTATACTTAAAAAGGGACAAATTAATTTTATTAGGGGCTTAACTGATGAAACATTAAATTTGAAAGCCTAATTGGAGTTTAATTGATAAAATTAGAATTTCAAGGGACCAAATTTAATTTTTATCAAGTTAATTAAGTGAAATTAAAGGTAAAATTACAAGAAAATTAAAATTTTCGGGTCAATTAGGGATCAAATTGATAAAATTCACAGCTAATAATTAATTCGTAAAAAGTGTCGAACTATGAAGATTTAATTGATGAAAACTAGGGTAAAATTAAAAAAAAATTAAAAAATTAATTATCAATAAAAATAAAATTATATAAATTCAAAATTAATGATTAAATTAAAAATAGCAGGGAAATAGAGGAACAAAGTTGTTATGGTGAAATGGAAAAGTGATTTTACTTATATATTTTTGTTTCCATACATATTCCCTCTTCTCCCTCCCCCTCTCTTTTGCACTTTTTTTTTAAAAAAAAATATTTACATCTAATGATTTATTATTGTTCTTTTAGAACACACTTAAAAAGTTCCTCACACAAATGTTTTAGTTGTGGTCGTATTAATTTAGAATTGAGTTTGAATTTTGATTTTGTTATAATTTAATTTTTTGTTTAGAATTGAGTTTGAATTTTGATTTTGTTTAATTTAATTTTTTGTAGTGTTTTTAAATTATTTTAATATGTTAATATGAAAAATAAATTTTAAAAAATAAAAAATATTATTTTAATATATTTATAAGTAAAAAAACTTTAAAAAATAATATATTTCTAAACACCTATTTAGCATCAAAATCTCATCATTTTTTTTATTAAGGAGTTGAATAAGAAAAGGAAATGTACAAAACGTCATGCCATTTCCCTATAAATAGCCTTCCTTCGATGATGATTTAGGCACTCGAGCATCAAAGTACTAGTCTCTATTTTCATTCAAGAAAATGGAAAACACCAATCAACAAAACAATTCTCGTCGAAGGGCAGATTTCCCACCAAGCTTGTGGGGTTGTAGCTTCGCGTCATTTTCCTTCCCACAAACGGTATACTAGTTCTCTTCTATGTGTATAACAGTGTATTTTTCTTTTAATGATTTTAAGTATCTAGACAAAAAAAAAAAAAAAGAGTTTCAAAAACTGTATATAACCTCTTAGACTAGTGGGATCTATCATCCAGTTCTGCACTAGGATTATAATCTGATGCTTCACAATTGTTTTTTTAACTTTATTTAAATTATATATCACTTCCCTCTCTTTTTTTAATTATAAAATCACATGTATCTTTCGTTGCCACTCCTCTCATATGTTATACTTTTGTCTAGCTGTTGATTACTTTTACTTTAAACAAAGACTTCATTTTTATTGAGTAAAATTCTATAAGAGATTAAAAACATTATCCATGGAGTAGAAAAAAACACGTTAAGGATTACTCAATGCTATCAATTTATATTAACTGAATATTTCACTGCAGGAATTCGAGTCATACAGCCGACAAGTAGAAGTGTTGAAGGAAAATGTGAAGGACATGCTGACGGCTTCCAAAAGGGATACAGTAGAACATATTGAATTCATTAATCTGTTATGTCGGCTTGGTGTGTCATATCATTTTGACGACGAGATTGAAAACAGCCTCAAACAAATTTTTGGTGACCTTCCTAATCTTCTTGAGAAACAAGACTTTGATCTCTACACTTTGTCACTGCTATTTCGAGTATTGAGACAGCATGGATTCAAAATGCCTTGCGGTGAGCGCATACTTCCAGTACTTTATATACTTTCAAACCTTAATTAACATCTCAAAAATTATTTCTCGAACAGTACTTTAAACTCTGCTAAATCTTTCTTTCACAAGAACTAATATATGGTAAAATTAAGATTATTAAAAAAAAAAGACTAGAACGGTAAAGTTATTGAGACTAGCAAAACTTTCGTGAAACTAAATAAATATTCTTTCATAACCCACAAACATCTTTTGAAAATTGGCTAAAATTTGTGTTGTGTTTTTTTTTTTTTGGTGAATCATCAGTTGTGTTCAACAAGTTCAAGGACACCAATGGAGAGTTTAAGAAAACAATCATCAACGATGTTAAAGGCATCCTGGGCTTGTATGAAGCTTCATTTTTAAGTGTGCATGGGGAACAGGTACTGGATGAAGCCCTAGTTTTCACAAAGGCAAACCTGGAGTCTTCGGCTATGCAATCAAGCCCACGTCTAGGGGACCATATTAGGAATGCTTTGATCCGGCCCTTTCACAAAGGCTTACCAAGAATAGAGGCTAGAGAATACATCTCCTTCTACGAAGAAGAGGAGTCTCGGAATGACACTCTACTCAAGTTTGCCAAGATAGATTTCAATCGAGTTCAGCTACTGCATCGACAAGAGCTATCCATTCTCTCGAGGTAATTTTGTGTTCGAGTTCGAGAGAGACATCAGACTAAGTTTCTATTTGGAATTTATTTACTCGGTTGCTACTTACATTTTAGGTGGTGGAATGATTTAAATTTTGCTGAGGAGTTTCCTTATGCAAGAGACAGAATTGTAGAGATCTATTTCTGGGCAAATGGAATCCATTTCGAGCCTCAATATGCTTTCTCTCGAATGATGGTCACGAAATATACAAAAATTGTATCACTGGTAGATGATACATATGATGCATATGCATCTTTTGAAGAAATACAACATTTTACTAATGCAATTGAAAGGTTTGTTTCTTGTTACCTCGTAGACTGTCTTTTCTAAATCTTTCATAAACAAAGAAGTGGACACAAAGATGTTCAGGAAAGGAATGGAATTTTCTGTCTCAATTTCAGATGCAGCATGAATGCTATTGATCAACTACCTGCCGATTACATGAAAGTTCTTTATAGAGCTCTTCTGAATCTCTTCAACGAAACTGAGAATGATATGGGAAAGCAAGGAAGATCCTATGCGTCATATTATGTGAAGGAGGCAGTATGAATATTTTTCCAGTCTCATGCATTCTTTTACCATTTCTAGCATAATATATTGTTGTTGTACATATATTAATTTAAATATTGCATCGGTTTGACCACACAATCTTTGTTTTATTTGTATGCTATTAGTTCAAAGAATTGGTGAGAGGCTACCATGCGGAGGCGGAGTGGGCAGACAAATGCCATGTCCCAACATTCGACGAGTACGTGCGCAATGGAATAGCCACAAGTGCTTATGGGGTGATTATGGCAGCATCCTTCCTTGGAATGGAAGAAGTTGCAGGAGGGGAGGAGTATGAATGGCTAAAAAGTAATCCAAAAATTATTAAAGCTGGAAAGATTATCGGTCGTTTGATGAATGACATTGTGGGCCACGAGGTACGCTGTCGGAATTCTTAAAATTAAAAATTACTAGATACACCGAGAATTGTATTCTCCTATCTTGTAGAAGCAAGGAAACAATTTTGAAAATTACTGTGGTTGTAAAGTGATAAAAATTTAAAATTTAAATATTTATTTTTAGATGGTTTTAGTTTTAAGTTATTGATTATTTATATAATAATTATTGAAAATTTATATGGCTATTAATTTTAGAGTCCGTAAAATTAATCGTGGTACGTGAAAGTTGGCCGTGCACTCACGTTAATCTAAAAAACAAAATCAATTTTAAAAATTATTTAAAAATTTTATGTTTTAAGTGAAAACATATTAATTATAGCTTAAACTTTTTTTCAATTATTTTCGTGCATCAAAAAAATTGAACCAAGGTTCGACTCGTGACCGTCTTTCTTAATTGTTTTGTGTTTAGAAATTTTTCATGTTTAGTTTCTTTTCTAACAACCATAACATCGTTTATATTTTCGAAGGATGAACAAAAGAGAGGAGACTGCGCATCCGGTGTTGAATGCTACATGAAACAATATGATGTTTCGGACAAGAAAGCAATTGAAGAGATACAAAAGATGGTAGCAAATGGATGGAAGGACATCAATGAAGATTGCATGAGGCCAACTAATGCTCCAAAGGTTCTCCTTCAACATAATGTTAACCTTGCTCGAGTTACCAATGTTATGTACGGGGATGATGACGACGCCTACACAACCCCATTAAGTTTAAAAGATTATGTCACTTTATTATATGTTGAGGAAGTACCTATGTGTGAATAATGGTTTAGAATTCTTACATTGAGCTCGTGCTAGAACTCTCTATGAATGTTGCCAAATGTATTGTAATAAAACGAGCAGGTGACTCTTGAACCTTATAATCACTAAGACAGACTATAAGTGTGTGTGTGATTGTTGTACTGGATGTGTGTATTTTTTTCCTCACATATATATATATATATATATATATATATATATATATATTGAATTTAAAAGTTAAGTTCGAATTCTATTTTTTTTTTAAAAAGTTAAATCTTGTTGTGATTCATTTATTCTAAATTTTATATATTATTTTTATATTACTTGTTGCTACCCAATTTTTAACCCATATTTTTTATAATTTTTTAGAAAAAACCAAAAATAACAAAAAGCAATGAAAACCTCAAAAAAATGTATTTTTGATATATTTATATCGTTTTTAATAAAAAATTTAAATTTTTAAAGGTATTTTGAACGCGTTTAATTTTTAATGCGTTAATTTTACAATCACTAATTTTTCTTGTTGAGTCGACGTTGATATTGCTCGTTTTCAAAATTAAAAAAATAAAAATTTATAAAAAAAAAGAAAAAAAAAAAGAAAAAGTTGAGGGACTGTTTGAAAACCCAGCAAAACTTCTCCTATAAATACCATGCTACAGTAAAAATAACAGACGGAGAAGATTTTTGGGGGGCGGAGAAAAATTAAAGGGAAACCAGAGAAAAAAACCTAAACCTAAAAAACCCATCTTCTCTACAGCCACAACCCTCTGAAACCAAAAAAGGCCGCCCTCCTCCTTTGGCATTGGCAAAGAAAACAGGAGAACCCCACACAAATACACGGCAGCTGCCGCTCTTCTTGTCTCTAGGGGACCAAAACTAGAGAAACCCCTGGCTAAAGGGGGCTTTTGAATTTTCGGCTTCTTCTCCAAGCCAAACAGCAGCTGCACGCTCTCTAGCCTTCTCCCTTCAGCCGGACAAGCCTCCGATCCCAGCCAAAAGAGCAATCGTATCTGCACTAGCCCCCTATTTCCTTGACCTATGCATTTCCTCCCCTTGAACCAACATACCCGACCTGTCCCTTCTCAACTATTCTCCCTCTCAACTGCTCCTCTCCCAACCACCGCAGCACCGTCGAGAGCACCGCCTTCCAGCCCGCAGCCGACAGAGCTTCCCTCATCGGCTTAGACCAGCCTCCAGCAGCAACCCCGCTGTCTTCTTCGTCTCCTCCCACGAGCCTTGCAGTGGCGTCTCCTTCCCATCACAGCAACGCCGCCCCCTCACTCTCCTCTCGCCGGCCAGCATTCTACTGCAACCAGGACACGGCAGCACCGCCCGATCTGCCAATTGAAGCAGAGGAGAAGAAGACGCCCTGCCCTCAGAGCCGACCACCACCTGAAGAAGGGAAGAACAGAAAACCAAAAGAGAAGACAGAAAAGAGTAGATCTGAAAAAAGGAGAGAATCAGAAGCTTTGCATTGTGCTTTTCCCTCTTTGCAGGTAACGGTGGTTCCCACAGCCAGTAGAGAAGGGAAGGGAAGAAGAAAACAGGGCAGATCCGCCCATCTCCAAGCATTGTCGATGGCAGCATGTGAACCCACGTGTCGTCAGTTTGATGGCGAGTGGAGGAGACGCGCTGCCACTATTCTGGTGATGCAAAAGGCCTTTCCTGTGATTCTAGATTGTTTTAGGAGATATTTTATAAATTTAAAATTATGTAATGTAATTTTTTTTAGTTGTTTTGAATCTGTATTTGGAAGTTTGGATGTAAAAAGAAAAAGAAAAAAAAAGGAAAAGAAAAAAATATACAATGAAAGAGAATGTGTTAATTTTTTTTATGTTATTTAATTATATAAAAAATAGATAAAAAGAATTAAATGTTTAATTTGAATATGGGTAAATATATTAAGGATAAATAAAATCATGTTATATTTTTTATGAAAATATAAGAACGTGTTTCTACATATATTTTGGGATTTAATAACTGATTTATTAAAATATGAGAATTTAATTAATATTTTAAATTTTTAAATCATATTAAATTGTAAAGCAGCTTATCTCAGGTATGGTGCGTTATAGATGCTAATATCTTTTCTGGTTACAATTAGTTTTTTGTTTCTGAATCTCTAACAATGACTAGTATATCTGAGTTTCCTAGTAACCTTTAATTAAATACTAGGTGGTGATTTTTAAATATTCTAAATCAAGCAAAGAACAAAAAAGACTCTCAAATACCCCAAATCAAGCAAAGAATAAAAAATCACTGAGACGCTGCGCGAGGGACATGCAACATAATGGTGACTCCACGGGGGACATGTGTTGTTTTTAACATTATTGGACTAAGCTTTGTGTTTTGATGTGTTAAAGTTTTTTTATGTTTTGTTTTATTCTTGTTTTATTCATGCATTGTATAGAATTCTCTCATGCATCACAAGATTTAATTTTTAAAAGTACACACAAGCTTCAAGTTAGGTGGGGGACTAGCAGCTTGCCTTATGACTTGAGTCAAGGTTTAAACTTGTGTAAACCCCAACTCTTCGTTGAGTGCTTAGACTAGTAATAATTGGTACATGTGCCAACCCATTACCTATTGGGCCCCCATATTGCCTTTAAGAGGGTGATCACTAGGACAACAAGAGACCTTTTTTAGAGACCAAGTAGTAAACCTACCCTTTGTCTCACGTAAAAAGATTAGAACTTCTCTTTAGGATGTATACTCCGTAGATATTTATTTCACATCTGAGGAAGCCCTTCTTGAAGCATCTTGAATTCAGGACTTACGGGGGATATAATGGTCATCACTTAAGAAATTTTTATTTGTAAAGTTTGAGCAAGAATAAAAATTCTTGTCTCATTATGCAAAAGTTATGACCATATATCACCCCTCGAAGGGTAAATTCATCATATAGATTACATGTCATGCATTTATCATGCATACACCGGGATGAAAAATAGGTTCCCTAAATAAGCTTTGCTACCCCTAATTAAAAAATGATGATGTCAAATGACGAAAGAGGTCAAAGAGAGGCTCAATATCAAAAGAAAGTTGAGAGCATCAAAGATGAAGTAGCTAGACTCAGATATGCCCGAACAAGTGTAGAGCATTAAATGGAAAGGGAATGTCTGCATAGTCTTCTATGGGAACACTACTTGCCCACGTCTCATTGAAGCTACACCTCTCATTTTCAGTTATGAACAACGACAATAATTCCTTCGGTCATCAACTAATGACAACCTTTGTTTTCGGTCAGTTGTCTTATTAGTTGTTCATCGCCTCCACATCTTCCAATAACATCAAATAACTACTAGCCTTCTGTGCATAGTGTATTAGTCTTCTTTAAAATTACCCCCACTGTGAGCTTAATTCCAGTTCAACATAATTAGACATTGAACTTCTAAATGGCAAAGCTCTCTCTGTAGAGATTTGCTTGTGGATCTACTAGTGGAAAATGCAAGAGAGAATGTAGTAGTTTCATATGCTATAAAACTTTGTCTCATCAGTTTTAACACCAAACACTGTAGTAGGCAGAAGAGCCAGATCTAGTTTGAAAAACAGGAGCAGATATAGAAATTCACCGTGGCAGAGCTTTCTCTACAGAAATTTGTTTGTGACTTTTTAAGTGGGGAATCTAAGAAGGGATGCAGTAGTTTTAGATCATCTACAATTTTATCCCATAAGTGTTAGCTTGAAAACGCTAAAGTATGGAGAAGAGACAGACTTGGATTGCAAAAACAAAAACAAAATTGAAACTTCAACAGAGTAGAGTTTCCTCTACAGGTGTCTATTTGTTACACCATTAGTGAGGAACCAAAAAGGAGAAAAAGCAGTTTTAGATTCATCAGGTTCTCTTCCAATAGAGACAATGCGTGATTTCACACAACGACAGTGGCGATATTGCAAGTTTCTGGACATTGCCAAGATTATCTAGCTGTTTGAAGGTTTCCAACAACCCTCAACCAACCACAACAACATTGGGATATTAACATGAAGTTGTGTGGATTGCCAAAAGAATTAAGCTAGCTATCAAGATGGGAAAGATTGAAGGTTCTACCGTGGATTCCAGAACTATAAAGAGAGTTGAATTAGAAGATGACTCTCAATTGAGAAACCTTAGTTATTTTGCCTAGTCAAGTTTTGCGATAACATCAATTGCTCAAAGGTCTCTGCCAAAAGTTGACATCCCTCTGCCACTCGAGTTTTTTGATCAGTATTTGTCAAACTCCAAACTTATTGCCCTGACTTCGACAAATTACATCCAACCACAGTAGCATAATTCAGACGAGAAGTGAATATCATAGTGGGTTCCTAAGCCATTGTAGTTGAACAGATGCAAGAGTTCCAAGAATCGAGCTGACTTTGTAAAAGATGACATCATCAATTATTTTGTCACTGAACATCCTCAGAATAACAAGTGATCAAAATTGCTTGGCGAAACACAGATATTGCCAGAGCAGTTGATCCATGAAAAGGGTCAAACTGTCAAACATCTTTGTCATGGATTTTTTTTCCATTTTTCCATTTTTGTTTTGGGATCATTTCTCATCTTTTAACTATACATGTTTTTTCTCTGTCTCTTTGTTGTTCTAAAAACATGAGATATTTCTTTCAAATTTTATTTTGATAAAATATTTTGATCAAGCTCCAACATGTGACTAAGATTAATCAATCCTGAAGATTAAAAGTGTTTTGATTATAGAAATGACTCGATGTTTGAAAATGACATGAGGTGACCAAACAATTTTGAACTCATACCTCCTGAAACTGAACCACACTTCATATAGCTAAGTTTTAATAGTATGCATAATGACACGTAGTGGATTCAATAGTTATGGACTCGTGAATCATGATTCTTACAAGTCCAAATCATTACACGGTATAAGATCAAAATTTATCAATTCTAACTGAACTTGCTTGAAATGAGAAAAGGCCATCTTTGTTATCCTTGCACATTTCTTGAGATATTTTCCCTTGCAGTCCCATTTTGAGCCTAGTAAAATATTTTGTTTAAAAAAAAACCCTAACTAGGATCACACCCTACACTAGGGGC